AAGAGCTCAACGGGAGACATCTCTGAGGAAGCCCTCGAGTGGAAACCTGGCGTGGGCGATGACTCTACCACGGAAACCAGCCCTGCAGCTATGGCTTCGACAGTTGATGCGAGCTTAGACGATGAGACGTTGTACTGTGTCTGCAGACAACCCTTTGAAGGACGTTTATAATTGGGTGTGACTGGTGCCTTGAATGGTACCATGGTGATTGCGTGGGTATCTCACCGGCCCAAGCATCAGAAATAGACAAGTACAAATGTGATCAGTGCAGGTCTCAGACCTCATTTGCTGATGCAGACGTGTCACAGGCATAGATGTTACAGAAGACTGTATATATACATAGGTGTATATAGGTGTTAGTTACCATGTTGATAGTTATGCCATTGTTCCACATTTTGTATTGTTAAGCCACCATCTCAAGTTAAATATCTTTGGGCAGGAAAGATGTCGAGTGATGAAGAGAGGTATTGCCGCACGAAGAACGAGACCTGTAGCACCCCACCATAGAAACGCCATGACTAAAAAGCGCAGTGGTGAGGAGACCAGACCAAACAGCTTTCAACAGCAGGGATAAACATAGGAATAGCCGAAGGGGCCAAGGGGATAAGTGTTGCAGTCACCAGCACCTGGCTTCAGAAGAAAAGGCAAGGAAAAGGGACATTGCTTTCCGAAGCCACTATCACAGGCCACTACAAGACAAGCGTATTGTTCCGCAAACCAAGCTCCGCCTGTCAAGTCATATCACCGGACTCCGCCTGTCAAGTCAGGATACCGGGCTCCGCCTGTCAAGTAGGGATCACCAGGGCTCTGCCTGTCAAGTCAGGATACCAGGCTCTGCCTGTCAAGCCAGATCACCAGGCTCGGACTGTCAAGTTGGATCACCAGGCTCTGTCCAAGTTGGATCAACCGGTCATCAAGCTCAGCTACACTAGCTGTAAGCCCATACCAGTGTTTGATTGCCGTTTTTTCCCCTCCCTGCTGGCGAAGAGGCTGCAGAGTGAAACCATGGACTTGAAGGCCCTACTGAATTTGGAACCTCACAACCCCAGTCCGCAGCTCAAAGGTGGAGTCGCAGTGACCTGGTCTCCAGAAGCTTGGCCGGTAATATCTAGCAGACTGTCCAGCGAGGATGCAGTGCTACAGGGCATTGGCTTAAACCCACGCCTGGTCAAGAGGCATGAAGATAAGATTAACACCTTCCTTCAGTTGCTGCATTGCACATCTGCCCTTGCAGATCAAGCTGCTTAGAGAGACATTCTCAAGCATACGTCCAGAGGAAAGCCTGTTCTGTTGGACATCTGGTCTTTTATGGACTGCCCTTTGTCAGTGCTGCTGAAGAAGCTGCTGGACCTGATTGGGCCTCACAGGTTGTGGCATGAGACATTCGTTATCGATCTCAACCTGGGCACAGCAGACGCCACATTCCTTCTGGTTAGGCTCCCTCGATCCATTTCAACGTTGGCGGATGTGTCCAACACATGACTGGGGACTAGAGAAGGGCACTTCCCCGGAAAAGATAGTGCTGGGGTCGGCAGCACCCAGGAATGCGCCAAAAGGGGCTGCATACTCTGTTCCCAGGGACCTATTTATGTTCACTGAAATGGCCGCGCAGACCCGACAGGTAGATTTTCGGTCATTCTCCAAGGATTGTAATACCAACGCCTCAAGAGTGTTCCGCCTCGGAGGAGAGGGAGGGAGGAGTAGAGTGGAGACTCACATATGAATCACAAATTGTTGAGTTAGTGTTACTGTTATTCGTTGGAACACTGTTACCGGTTAAACGTGTAAATATGTTACATTGACACCGTTTCAAGTGAAATGATTATTCTGTTTGCTTCCTCACATTATCCCTTTTATGACGGGGAGGAGTGCGGAGGTTGTGACGTAGTACACATGAACGACGGACGTCACATTGTGTGCATATAGACGGAGACTACTTGCGACAATTGACCTGCACAGACTCGATCAGACGTGCTTATTTATAACCTATCAGGAATGTTCAACGGAACCTGCGACATCGGGGATACTTCGTGGTAAGTAGCTGTGCCACCTCTATAATCCTGTATAAGCGAGTGTAGTCAGGGGCATACCGTTATAGAAAAAAGCCCGGGCTTACAAATGATTGTTGCTAAAAAGGTTGGGCAAGCCCTCAATACTATCCACATTTACAGCTTTGCAACCTATCGGGCTTACACGAAAAAAATTGGCTTGCTACGCGCTTGGTAGTGCTTGACTATGATGATGGATCACGGATGTGACTCAAGCTGCCCCCATTATAACTCTCTATTATAATGTCGAACAGTTTCTCCCAACATCCTTCGTTGTCCGGTTTTGAGTAATATAATAACTGGATGACGTTGTTGTAAAGAAATGAGTTCTGTCACAGTGACAGGGCGGGGTAGTATGCTGACGCTAAACACAACAACAAGCCGTGACTATATACAAGTCGACGGGAGAGATTTCTATAGGGTTGTCACAAAACGTAGTGATTATGGTTTATCTGAATAAGGTCACACATTCAAATGTGGTGATACAAGTGTGACACATAGATGCTGTGGTATATTAATAACAGGTTTGTTTGGGATGACGCTGACTGTAACACGGGGTCATGCTGTGAACTGTGACGTCATTCACCATGTGATCACTTACTTGGATGAGCAGAATTATCTAATAGAAAGTAGAATTTGCACAGACGTGCTTCAGGAAATGATTCTGTATTTATTCGCACGAGAGAAGAGGGGGGTCACAGCCCGTCCGTTTCTACAGCACAATCTCGTGTTAGTTACATACACGATGTTAACTTTACATTACTAAAATTGGAATTTTTGAGTGAGTAAGTGAGTTTAGTTCTACGCCGCACTCAGCAATAGTCCATATGGCGGCGGACTGTAGATAATCGAGTCTGGACCAGACAATCCAGTGATCAACAGCATGAACATCGATCTACGCAAATGGGAACCGATGACATGTGTCAACCAAGTTAGCAAGCCTGACCACCCGATCCCATTAGTCGCCTCTTACGACAAGGAGCTGACGGTTACTGAAGATCAATTCTAACCCGGATCTTCCCGCATGACATTTTGAAGTTAAATGTTCAGTGGGCATTGTTGTGATTTCAAAGTGATTCACGTCTCAGTTCACATTGAGGATGAACTTGTTAAAGGAATATGAGATCTAGCTATTGACAGCTCGGCACCAAAACCATTGACGCCCTTGGATCATGTCATCTTACCGGTATTTTCATAACTACTGTTATTATCATCGCTCTCCTCTTCATGTAAAGTGCTGTTACCACCAAACTCATCATCATTGTAATTTTTAATATCGCCATCCATGTATTTTATGGATAAAATAGCTAAACCTGGGATTTAAGTTTGCATTTGGTATTCCTGAAATATACACATTTTTTATCAGTTGGATATCTAATGTTTCTTGCAGCATTTAAACCCAAAGATTTTTATGCAAGAAAACTTATTTTTGTATAATTATATAAATTATCATCTAAGTACTATTTCCAATAGTACGGATCGATGGTTATTCTGATAATGTGAAGCACTTGACACTCATGTCACAGCACGTCTTCTGGTTAGTGACGGTTACAGAAAAGGACAGCTGATGACGATCCAGACCGGAGGTTCGGGATGAACCTTGTAGTTTTTATAGAAATGTGTGTGTGTGTGTGTGTGTGTGTGTGCCATCCCAAAATAGAATCGCATAGGCCAGAAATCTGTTGCGAAAATGTTCTTTTTCAAACATGTATAACTCGTCCACAAATAGACTTTAGTGCATGAATTTTTACACCAGTTTAGAAGAAGGTAATGTCTTTACAACCAAGTGGATACTTTTAGATGACGGAGACGTTAAGCGCGATGGTGACGACGTAGCACGGTCCCGACGTCGTTCCGTACAGTTTGACCGGATATCCTCCGAAGTCCAGGCACCCTGGCTGCTGTGCTCTCACCCATGGCAGCACTACAAATGTAGTACCCGGATGTACCGATCTTGGGCTGCAGTGGTGACTCGAGGTCTGCCTGTACGGGGACGGGTATTTGTTATTCCTGTTTGGTTGTAACGAGCTGCAAGCCGTGATATCGTGCTCAGACTTCAGACGCCTAGCAACAGAAGATTGGTTATCTCCAGTGTGCATTCTTTCAATGGCGATGTTCCTTGTCGAAGAGTCAAGACGTGGCGTAGTCATTTGACCTTGAAACTCCTTCAAAACGAATGCCAATTTCCGAAAGTAATCTGGATTTTTATTGCCAGACAGTGCATGCTCGTTGCTACACAATTTCAACTGGAAGGTGATTTCTGTTGCGTTGTGGCGATGCCTATTTGATCCCTTGTAAGAAATCTCATCAAAATCAACATTTTCAGGTAAAATCGATTTTTTACTTGTGCAATTGTGTAAAATCATGTCATGAACACTTCTGTTACATATTTTGACGATTGTTTGAACACAATAGGTACTTAATAGATTATTAAAAAAACAAATCGCCTATGCGTTTCTTTTTGGGGATAGTATATATATGTATAGGTAAATTTAAACAGACATGTTACCAGGAGAAAGATTAACTCTTCGACGTTTTTGATGAGTGCAAGAAACATCTCATACCCAAATCCTAAGGACGATGGGTGGCGGGAACATGGCGTTACGGAGCTCACAATTACTGCTGACTCTGGAAATCTGTGTCATTTTTGTGTGAGATGTTTTGAAACGTATCGAGAAAAGAATTTACGCCAGTGAACCACGTCTGTATTCCAAACCCTTCATAAACCCTGTACACGTTTGATAATGGAAGCTCGTCTTTCCAGAGGTCAAGGTGAACGCATGATTCAGGAACAGTATGCAAACAACACAGTAAAGTTCATCGAAAGAGGCCTTTGACGTAGGGCCTTGTAGAGCGCCCAGTCCAATTCCAAGATTTTGACACATTTACAAGAGATACCTGAAGTATTACAGAGACTACTCTTTGTATAACATAAAACCCATTTTGCGTGGATAATCGACAATCTTTATTCTCATTCGTTGATGTTTTATCTAATAAACGTATCATCTTTTGGTGTTATATTTTTCATAAAATGTGCACAGGACATTTAAAAGCCTGCTTTAAAGTCACCCTTGTTACTAAGGCACATTGAAACATATTGACACAAGTCACAAAATACAAGGCTAAAAGGTTGACCGAAAATCTTCATGGTTCTCTTTAAGGCAAAATCATTAAGGAATGGTCTCATAGACATGGCTGTCGCTGACGGATGCTGGGTACTCGGATGTAGGACTTGGGGTCTTCTTCATTGTCGGTGGGTCGACCTGGGGAGGTGAGGCCTTCCTGGAGTTAGGGACGTAGGCTGGTGCCGTGGGCTTTATGGAGACTATTTGTGTTGGTGGCGAGTAGGGTGGGGGAGGGTAACTTAGTCCCGCCGGTGGGGCGCCACCTGGGTGTGGCTGAGCAGGGTAACCGTACCCAGGGTTAAAGGCCGGTTTCGGAGTACCTGGATCAAATAAATTACATAGTAGATCAGAAAACAACCAATTAACCAGGCATATTAGGTTCTGAAATACTCTAATGAAACCGCCAATGAATCCGCTAGTGAATCCGTTAAAGCTATCAAGTTCTGTTCACAACTGAACTTTAACATATTTTTATTTAAGCCAGAGCCACGTTCCACTCCAAAACTCGTAAGCTTTTCGCCCAGAGACCCGTCCCACAGAGCCTTTTAAGTTCTAAGACGATCGAAAGCCTAAATATAGGCCACCGCCACCGCCACCGTCACCGTCACCGTCACCGTCAACGCACTCAGCAATATTCCAGCTGTATGATGGCGGTCTGTAAATACTCGTGTCTGGACCAGACAATCCAGTGATCAACATCCTGAGAATCGATCTACGCAGTTGGGATACGATGACATGTGTCAGCCAAGTAAGCAAGCCTGACCACCCGATCCCGTTAGTCGCCTCTTATGACAAGGTTGGGTTGCTGAAGACCAATTCTAACCTCGGTGCCAAAGAACAAAGGTTTCAGTAAGTGCTGTTTGTACCTGATGGTTTGACAGCTCGTTTGTTTGTCTTCACAGCTCGGCCTTGTTCTCTTCTCGAAGACTTCCGGCAACACACGCAGTACAGAGTGATTCCGACGATAATTCCGATGAGAGCGACGACCCCAACGGCGATGCCAGCAACCGCGGGAGTCGACAAACCAGACGTGGTAGCGCTGAAATGTGAAACGTTGATAATGCAAGGGGCCATGGGTAACTTGGTGGTTAGAGCGTTCGCTGAAGACTAGGTTCAATTTTCCTCATGGGCACACTGTGTGGAGCCAAATATTCCACCAATATTACTAAAATGGCCACAAAACACGAGTGGTCCTGTTATTTCAGGCATTCCCCCAATATTCGCAGCCCATAGGGTCAATGAGTATTCCAGCAACATCTGAAACGGGTTTCACATTTTGTACCCATCTGTGGAATCGAATCCGGGTCTTCGGCGCGACGAGCGAACGATTTAACCACTCCACTGCCTCACCGCTCCCATATGCGTTTTAGAATCTTATGATCGTTAAGGATATAATCACTGTTGCCATGTTGTCTCGTGGTCATCGTCGACGACCGCCATCACTGAGAGACTTTCCCCCAATGAAACGACGTGGCATAAGCTAAGACTGCCAAGCGTGGCTTCAGATCAAACACACTCACTATTTTCATTTTCAAATGTATCGTGCCATAATTAGTTCAAGTTGTCAGAGTTCAAATAATTCGGATTCACTATGTAGTCATCATTCTTTAGTAACACATCAAATGTCATGACAAAATATACCATGCTTCTCAGAGTCAACGCCATTACAGTGATTGCAGGTATGTCGCTCTAATTCCATGTTTACTTTTCAACCTGGAACCTGGATAATTGTTGATTCGTCATGGTTCGAGACAACACTAACCATGTAGACGTCAGCCAGTACAGACACCTGACATGCTTGACATACAGCCAACACCTTGCCGGTGTTCAATGTAGTCATCTCATATTTTTCCATACCAGCCAATAGTTCGTTTGATTCTACACTGACTGTTTTACCGAGAATGCCAATGTTAGAATGCATGGTCGTTTACGCCAAAGTCGCATTACACTTATTTGATGGTATGTGTTCATACCTAAATTGATAAGACCTTTTGTGTTCAGCGTCTCTGATGGTGTAAGGGCATACCGTCATCATCGTAACCATCTGATTTGACCAGCATGGACGCCTGGTGCTGTTTGTTTTTAACTCACCTTGTAGAGCAACAATACCGCGAGTCAATGTTCCCACAGCATCGGTCAGCACATGTCAGTTTCTTCTCTGGTCCATTGTCGGGTCTGCCCCCAGGGCTTGCACCTGACCGTTTCTGTCGCATGTAGCATTCTTCATATGCCAATGCTGAATAAGATGAACCGTGCACTTACTTAATGGTGTCAGCCATACAATTTACATAAATAACATAATCTAAACAAGAAAGACTGTAACTACAGAACACACACATAGAATGAGTTGAACCATATATTTTAGCTTGTAAGGAACATCATACTGAACAAAATTAATCAGTCTCTCTTTCTCCGCACACAAAGTAAACACTTTAAAGAAGGTTATCTATCACCTCTATAATATAATCAAAATCATGGTTATTTTTGTACACTATTTTGTATAAATCTGTCTACACAGATGGTATGTAACTATGCTACTCACACACTGTGATCAGGACAGAGAGGATGAAGGCATCATGCAAGGAGACCATCTTTTCCCAGTGTAAATGTAAACTGTCACTGGTGTATGACCGTGTTTTCAGTACGAGAGGTGACGTGGTTTCTCATGTAAACACGCCCTGATGTGAAACTATAAGGTCTATCCTTAGTGTCGTCAGTGGTGCACGGCGTTCAGTACATGTTGTTGTGGGTTGTTGTTTTCAGTTCGGTGCTGGCTGCTTGTTTGATTCTATTTGATAAAATATATAATAATATGCTCCATGAACTGACAGTTTTCAATGATTGTATTGGGTTTGTTGCATTTTATACCATCACTTTCAAGAAGCTGAGATTGAAGGAGATAAAAGGAACTAAAGGTTCACAGAGAATAAATCTTTTCTGTAAAATAATATACACAAATACTACATTGCTCTTATCAAGGAATCTTTCTATGTTAAAGACTAAATCTGGACTGTAACCTTGTGTTTTACATTTTTTTGACACTGTAGGTCTAACAGAGATGTGGATTCAGAAGTCGGACGTTTTATTCCAAACTAGGCCAGCTCTGAATATCCAGGATAACAATGATTTCCACAGAATAGACTTCTTCCTGTTACTTGAGACGCAGTGTGAGATGAGGGGCAAGAGTAACCTCCCCTGGAAACCTAAGAAACAGCAGAACTTTCCATAATGGTCTGGGTCAGAGAAGGGTCATAGTACATTCTATAACTCTGTCTAAATATTGCACAAGTAAAGGTAGCGCTTACACAATGAAAAGCCATGCAGAAGGTGAACGATGGCAGAAAAATGTTCGGTGTCATGGTCAGGATTAAAAACGCTGAAAAGATATGTTATGAGTGACAACCAGAGTTACTGGTCAAATAGTTAAGTCATGATGCTATAGTTAAAATGGGCCTTACTGTGATGCATACCGATTAGTTTGTCGTATTAAACGTTTCTAGTTTCTAGAGATGGTGTATTCATATTCCAAGATGGAGCTCCTGAATGTTTCAAATCAGACCGGTGACTTTCCATGTAGTGTAGTGAAGATCTAGTTCCTCTGGGACAGAACGAAGTGAGGAGGCCAACATTCTGGATTATTTTGAAGGCCGTCTTGGGATTGCTGTTTGGATTGGGGGCTAGAAATTAATACGGTCATACAGAGGCAAGGGTAAATGAATGTACGTATTTTCGCCGAGCATATTTTCTATCTTCTGGAAGCTAACATCGACACGTTCGGAATCGCAACACAATCCATTAACACTGACTTTACGTGCGCTTCTCTCAGTCATTTAATAACGATGTCAATTATGCAAGTTCGTTTAGATTTTAAATGGAGTAGTTTATCTTTGGGAAAATGTTTGTCTTTCGTTGTAAAAGCAGTTGATGCCCTATTTGCAAATATTGGTGAGCGAAGGTTTCATATCATATTGGTGAGTCACACTCATAAGCCGTCGAAGTAAGGAAATACGAGTCTAAAAATAATATCGAAACTGATACATGGTATGATCATTTTAGAAAATATTACTGATGCTACAAAGGATGTTCACTTTGACTATCAGCTCGGGAAAAGTGTTACCATGACAACCTTCATCAATATTTGAATTGTAAAAAAGAAAATCAAAATGATGGGTTGAAGGAAATTAGTGTTTTTCAAACATTCTGTTTATATTCTATCCATATACCTTCAATAGCTTTTTGTATGGTTTTATAAAAGTATTTCCCCAAAGCTTTGGCTGCAGGTATGAGTCTACACATCATGTACTGATACATTCAGTCATCAAGGCATTCTTCTTCGTATGTGATTCTGTTATCAATGGCAGGTTTACATTTTGGTCAGGTGGATTAAATATATCGCGGTAGAATGGACAGGTTCAAGACAATAATTACAATGGTCAGTGCACATGAATATCCTGTGATGACTATCCTCAGAAATAGATTTGGTGCAGAGCGCACATTGGTTGTGAGGATCATGCGAATGGATACCTGGAAATTAAAGCAAGATTCTTTCATATTTATAAAAATACAAGGCACAAGAAATAAGGGAACCCCCCAAGTGGAATTTATAGTTGAAACAATGCTACATAAAAGTTGCAAGCTGATTGCATTCGAACCCACATCGGAAATCACTTATGGCTGACACGAGAGTCAGTACCATATTACTTTTACATGATACACGTGCATCATGCACCACACGTGCATTCTAGCCTATAAAACTGACAGTAAGCGTGTCCCTCTATCTCTTGTGAAAATGCCACCTCGACAGTATCTGACAAACGCACAGAAATGGCAGGCCATTGGCATGATAGAGGGTGGACAATCTCAGAATAATGTTGCTCTGTTCTTCAGGAACCCTAAAAGCGTCATTTCCCGTCTCATCAAATTTAACGTCAGACAGGGGGCTTTAAAGTAAGGACCGGTCGAGGAAGACGCCCTAAAACCAACCCAGACAAGGCAAAATCCTAAACTGCTAAAGAGAAAAGTGTTTACGTCATGCAGACAACGCACTTGTCACGTTGACCGGTGGTACAGCTGTATTTTGCTCTGTCATGCAGTCCAAAGGGCATGTTGTCTATTTGTGAATAACAAACAAATATTTCAGAAATTTCTTTTCAAATTATGAATTTGGAAAGATTGAAACACGTAAATGGTTCAATCAGTGACATTGTTTTGTTACGAAAACATTGGGCACAACTTCTGAGATACGAACTTTGAACATAATGCATGTAGTTACGGCTAGCAACCACTTATGTTATCTTGTATTGTGTCTGTATTGACTCAAGTTTTTTCTGCTGATAACATCACGTGTGCTGCCCTTGTCTGAGCGGCGCTAGACACCCGTTTAGCATATACAGCTTACAATTACTTAACAAGTGTTATCGACGCATTGGGTTGTTACATATCAGGCATTTGTCGACAACCAGAGTAGGCTATGGTGGAGTTGGAGTAAGTGTGCTGCTGTTTGGACATCTGGTCTCAGGTAGGTGTGACACGTATTCTTTGTAACCTATACAATTATAAAAAATGACATAATTTCCAACAGGCCCAACATTTCTGACACAATCTTACCCAAATTACGTTAATTGTATTAACCGTATTAGTTACACGTACGACCCATACAGGTTACCTGATGTATTTCCTAAATATGTTTCAAATATCAAATGCTTTTAAATATTTTGAGGTAAGGATTGTTTTTTTTCATTTTGTGGAAGCTGCGGTGGCTGTGTGGGTTAGATCGCTGACTTTGTGTGCTGGCGATTGCCTGACAATGAGAGTGTGGGTTCGAATCCCGAAAACGACCCAACCTAAAACAAGTGCTAGAATCTCTAACGCTTCGAAATGCGTTTTACTACGCGCGATTTGATTGGTTTGCCACGATTCATGGCAATAATGGCGTACGATAGGGGTACGAATCGTCTTGTAGGTCACGGAAAGAGGCGAGTAGTTACGAATGTCTAACACCTGTGGTTCTGTGAAGCTCACCTCATCTCCAATATGATAGACACTTTGTTCACGGTTTGGGGCGGTGGGGTAGCCTAGTGGTTAAAGCGTTGGCTCGTCACGCCAAAACGACGTCTCAATAGATAACGTGTTATTACAGTAAATATATTAAACTTCTTTGGATCTCGATGTAGAAATTAAAATACGCAAGAGGTTAAGTTTCCCATCAATCTATCCTATAACTGATCGGGTAGAGTTGGTTAACGTTCGTCACGTCGGAAGACCTGGGTCCGAATCCCCGTGCCGTGACATGGGCACAATGTTGTGAAGCCCATTTCAGTCAGGTGTCCCCTGCCGTGATGTTGCTGGAATATTGCTAAAAGTGGCGTAAAACCAAACTCAATCAGTCAGTCAGTTGTTCATGGTTTCGTAACACAGTCGTTCTGATAAAACGGTAGTCACCCTTGGTTGACAAAAGCGACGTCTGTAATCAACGACATATGCCTCTCGATATCGTGATTGTAATCTGCTTATTAGTTACTGTATTTGATGAAACGGTTGTCGCCCTTGGTTTACCAGACGTCTGTTATCAACGCCATATGCCTCTGATATCGTGATCTGCTCTCTGATTATCGTCGCCCTTGGTTGACCAGACGTCTTATCAACGCCATATGCCTCTCGATATCGTGATTTGCTAATTGGTGACTGTGAAATGTTAAAAGTTGCCACAATGAGCTGTCATGTTGCAACTTCCTACATGCCACTTGCTCGTAGCTGTTCGTGACTTGACAACAAAATGTATGGTATTTCAACATGGTGTAATGAGTGATATATTTAGTATGTCATGAATTAAGATGTGATGTGTTGAAAAGTCATGTTATTTTGGTTAATTATGATATTATTGCCTAACTGTTCCATTTCACTCAATTATCGTTATTCTGCTGGATCACCAAACTCACAATACCCCGAATAAACGATTGAGCCCCCCAGACATCATTCGTCATTCGTTCCGGCGAATATAGCTATTACATAGACAAAGGTCAAGATTCTCAAGTTTGCAAAGTGAACAACTCGCCCCATGTTGAAGACATTTGAACTCACACTTGATTACAATTACCAAATATCGTCCTAAAATCTGTGTGTATGTGTACTGCGAATATTGCGCAGGAAGTAAGTGGATATCATGGCCATTTGATAGCACAACAGAGGGGGCAGATCCTCTTTATAGATATAGATAGTGTTGTGCCCATTAGGTGCTTGTTCATATCAGACGTGTGTCATGTGCATCCAGGCTTCACCCTACACACGCCAAGTATCGCTTTCAAACCGGAAGTTGCGAAGTGTTTATAAGGTCATTTATCCTATTTATAATCATGTAGTCGGTTATGAAATATTATAGATAGATATTTACCGTGGGTTACATATGTCTGTAATAATATGCTCCTTATCAAACCCGTGAACCCGTGAATATTCGGGTCAGAACTGATTTTCGATCGAAAGAGGCGAGGCGACTAAAGGGATCTACTGGCCAGGCTCGCTTATTTCGTATTCCAATTTCGTAGATCAATGCTTTTTTTTGGGGGGGGGGGGGGAGATATTGTTTGTGTGTAATAACGCCATTCGTTATCTGAACAATGATCCGATACAATGCGTTACAACGTGCATATACAGTGTATCCCTAGACACACTCAGATGACAAATATAATTATCTTACCTTCATGTAAAATACTTAAATTTCATTGGTCAATGGCGCTTTAACAAGATTCCCTGTCACCCCTCTCAGGAAGGTGACAACTGGAAAAAATATTACCCGCTCCCACGGTAACCTCCAAGCTCCCCGCCTAGAAGATGAAGCGTTAACAATCGTATGACGTCATAATATGACGCATGCCGTGCACTGAATTCGAAAAAACGTTCGATCAGCTGCTTTTGAGTTCGCTTTGTACAGATTTATTTAACCGACTTTAGTCGGAAGCGATCTTCCATATAAAATAAAATGAAATTTTGTACATTTAACATGGCGATAAGATAAATACGTTGTGTGCTTGTCCCTCGGGTAATACGGTCTGATGTACGCCATTTTGTAGCAGTGTCATCCCTTTGCTGTGTCCGAATGTGTATGTTAATGGCATGTATACTCTTACAAAAATGTAGGGTAACTTCATTTTTAATTTACGATTGAAACCATTGGGAGATAAACTCTGTCAAAAAAAGAAACGCAACCCCTGTATTTTAGAGATTTTGATCTGAAGTTTTAAGACGACACAGCATTGTTATTATTTAAGACAGAAGTCTGAAATTTGGCAGAATAATAACCAAGATGGGCATGTTTAAAATTGTCATTTCAAAAGTCATCTCACAGACACCAGTTTGTCACCAGGGGGGGCGTCTTTCTCAGTATCTCGTATGAGCACCACGAGCTGCAATCACTGCACGGCATCTCCTTGGACAAGAACGGATAAGACGCCGGATTCTTTCCTGGGGAATGGCTCTCCACTCCTCCTGCAGTGCAACGCCGAGCTGTTGCAGCGTCTGTGGCGGCGGCTGACGTTGACGTACGCGTCGACCCAGAGTATCCCACAGGTGTTCAATAGGGTTGAGGTCTGGTGATTTAGAGGGCTATGGCAAGACATTGACGTTGGAATTCTGCAGAAAGTTCATTGTTGCACGTGCAGTATGAGGCCGGGCGTTGTCTGGTTGAAAAATCTGTGTCTGTTGGTCAATAATCGGGAGAAGGTGAGGCTCCTATACACACGTTTTCTTCCGTCGTGATGTTGCAAAAGAAAACGGGATTCATCAGAAAACCAGATGCGCCTCCAGTTTTGTAAAGTCCATATCCTTACGTTGTTGCACCACCTGAGTCGTCGGCGGAGATGTAGGGGGCGTAGTACAGGTCCAACAACTGGTCTACAGGCACGTAAACCCGCTTCTTTCAGACGGTTCCTAATCGTTTGAGCTGACACTCTCCTCAAACCTGGTATTTGTGTGGCAGTCACGGTTGGTAGGGCATGCCGATTACGCAGGTGATGGACCCGGATGTACCGATCTTGAAGGGGGGGTCGTGATTCTTGGCCTTCCACTTCTCGGGCGATCGTTGGTCAAATTGAAGTTGTTGTAGCGGCTCCAAAGTCGGGATATCGTTGTTTTGTGAACATTTAGGTGCCGTGCAACAGTTCCAAAACTTTCTCCGGCTTGAACACGACCAATGGCGATATTTCGGTCGGCAGCACTCAATCGTGGCATTTTTCACACAGCTTTTCGGCGACAAATGAATGAATATAATACGAAAGCACATGGGCTTTTATACACCCCTACATTAACTGCCATTTTCATGATTTGCATGTGTTTTTTTTGTGCGAAGTCACCATGAGGGTCATTTCATGCGTTGTGACGGAATAAGCAATAAAATACACTTATGCGTACAAATGCAGTTGTTTGGATGGTAATCTTCATTAATTACGTGTATAATTTCAATACATTCGAATAACATTTAGTTTGGAAGCAATAACTTCATTCAAACGAATTTTTCATATCTGAGGACAGGGGTTGCGTTTCTTTTTTTGACAGAGTTTATATCCGAGTCAACCAATGTTCATATGATAATAATGAATGTTTTGAGGGTGCATCACCACTTGCACTTCATTATGACCATTGTTCATCTTGAAAAATGATTGGTGCATACCGTGAAATTTGCATGTGTACGATTTTCATTTATAAACAAGCAAACACAAACGGCTAGAAACAAACAGTAGCAACTGTGTGATGCAAGATGATTGTCAAAATTAATGGTCTACAGTGATTTATCGACCTTCTTGAAAACCGTCAAAATCAAGAATGACACCCCATGCACGTTTATGGGGCTTCTGTGTTGTGCACGTGCATCCCATGCGTTGTGTTTAGGGGTGGTGATAAAGAAATATGGTGGCGCGTTCATAAGATGTGTGTCATTGAAACGTTTGTTAACGCTTATACTATCTATCCAAATTGAAAGTTCAGATTACCCTACTTTAAGATTATGTATTTCAATCAATATTAACTATCTAATATATCATGGTATCTCATATCATTATATAAAGCTATTTTCGATAGTCTGAAAAAAACATTATTTGACAATGAATCTTCATAGAAATAGGTTTGATGACATGAAAAGTTTGCAAAAGAAAGAGTTTTTTCAAACATCAATGAGTTATTAGATATGCTTTTGAATTATTAAGATACATTATAGATTCTTACTTATATCACCATATACGAACATGAAATTAGTCAATGTATCAAATCTTTACGAAGTATAAAAGCCAGCGGTCTGATGATATTAATCAAGGAGACACAGTGTTAAAGCCACTCTCTACGCTCCTGTACATTTTCGGACTGAAAATGAGCTAATGACGCTGCATAAGTAAGGCGGCAAATTCCTTCCTTCAGACCATATTTACCATCTTCACTTTGGAAATTATTTGAGAGATTTGTAAACATTTTCATGACCATTTGCAGTCGACTTCATCAGCCAAATGCTCACAAACATCTCATTGGTAGTTTATCCCAAGATACGAAACTGTCTACCCATATTGACAATATACGCTACTCTGAAATAATATTCTTTTAAATAGATCAACAGTATCTTTTCCGAAACGCATCTGAAGTTTGGGATAACTGTACGTACGTCAACTCTGATATTCTGGGAAGGATTCAACTGGAAATAGAATAGGTACCAGATTCAACTGGAAATAGAATAGGTACCAGATTCAACTGGAAATAGAATAGGTACCAGTCTTCCTCTGTACGATTCCCGAAATAGTTTATACACTCTTCAAAAAAAGAAACGCAAAACCCAAATATCAATGAAAATTTGGTGTTTTTCAAGGACGTGTAGATCAGCGGAAAACAAAAATACATGAATGAAATTGTGTGGAGCAATGCATTGCTATCTTGTCCATATTTCATGAGAATAACAGTCATCACAGTCATAACTGCTGTCCACCAGGTGGTGTTGAAGTCAGTATTTCGTATGACCACCCCCAGCTGCTACCACTGCCCGACACCTCCTGGGTACAGATAGAATCAGTCGTTGGATGTTTTGTTGTGGAATCCTTCTCCATTCCTCCTGCAGCATGTGGAACAACTGTTGAAGATGCTGTGGTGGAATACAACGTCGACGTACCCGTCTATCGATCTGATCCCAAAGGTGTTCGATTGGGTTTAGATCCGGGGATCTGGAGGGACAGGGGAGGGTATTGATGTTGTTATTGGCCAGGTAGTCCACGGTGGCACGTGCTGTGTGGGGCCTGGCGTTGTCCTGTTGGAAGAGCTGCCGTTGACGGTCAACAAAGTGAAGGACATGCAGACGGAGAATCTGGTCGATGTATCGATTGGCCGTCAGATTGCCTTGGGCAAGCACAAGTTCCGATCTGCGGGTGTTTGATATTCCCCCCACACCATAACACTTCCCCCGCCAAATCTGTCCACCTGTCTGATGCAGTTAGGAGCAAAACGTTCATGACGTCGTCTGTAGACACGGTCTCTACCATCACGTCGCCTGAGGAGATAACGGGTTTCATCGCTAAACCATATGCGCCTCCAGTTTGCCAGGTTCCATGGCAGCACCGTGTTACACCATCTCACTCGTCGACGTCGATGTAGTCGTGTCAAGGAGGGGGCAACTTTTGGACGTTTGGCACGTATTTCTACTTCTCGGAGACGGTGCCTGATTGTCTGATCGGACACTCTTCGGGCTCCAAACAGTTCTTGTGCAGTGTCCCGGGCGGTACGATGGCGGTCACGTAGGTGGGTTACCCGGATGTACCGATCTTGGGCAGGTGTGGTGACTCTAGGTCTTCCTGATCTTGGACGGTCGTTTGTCGAATTTGTTTGACAAAATCGATCCCACAATCGAGCTATTGTGCTGGGATGAACGTTGAAGTTCCTTGCCACCTCACTCTTTGATTCGCCAGCTTGCAATCGTCCAATTGCCTGATTTCGATCGGCAGCGTTGAGACGTCCCATTTTCGTGTACAGTCCTTGCAAAGATCGTGGATGAAATTGTGAGATTTATCAGTTGGAGGTCAATGCACGATCCACACAATTTTCTGTTGTGATGATTCATGCTCATTGTTACAAAACACGTTTCTATTCAAAACTGTGCAAAAATACGTCATGGCAATACAGAGGTTCCATTAACATTTTTGTTTCCTACATCTTATACTCATATACAATTTGTATTTTACATTTGTTTTTACCATTCCCAACCCCTCACTAGATTGTATAATCCATTCATGACGTTATTATTTTAGTAAGTATTAATGAATAATGTTTTCATTAAAATAGTATAGCACTTTGTCTACATGCTGTTTATTACAATGTTCGATGGTCCTAATCTTGGCCCATATTTGTTGGAAAAGTTTGCCCAATCCAGTTGACCTCTTTACTGAATAAGACATGTTTGAAAACAAAAGAAAAGGCAAGAAAAAAATATACGTTGCATTGAATTTGACTCCAGAGGACTGTCACATTTCCGCCTACATGTCTCTATCATAAGGTCATCTATTTTTAATGTATACATTTTAGACTATCTTTTCTTTAATTTTTCAACCGATTCAATACCCTGTATTTATTTCTGTTTGTTTTTGTTAATGTTCGTCGAATTCCAAACTTGTATTCCCTTAGTTTAGCCATTAACGATATGTTTAATATTACAGGTAAAATTCGCAACTACCCTTGGGGAACATTGAAAATGAGTTCATCAAATCTTGTGCAGAGGAGGGACAAGCAATACCTCTTGCCATGGATGAAAATATCAAGGCTTGATACAAAACATAAGCAGAACATGGCACCAGAGCAGATTATACATCGTATTCTCCAAAATAAATCTGATGTTCATCCGAAGGACATTCTTCCCGATATTGTTAACAGAATGAGGCTTAAGGGGTTTTATATTAAGCTGTATTGCGTAAGAAAACAGTCTAAGACAAGATGGAAATTTGATCATTTTGTTACTGAAGAAGCGAGAAGTGAACTAAATGTTGGCACTAGAAATTATGCACTGTTGTTCTTCTACAGAGATGTTGATCATGACGAAGAACGTAGACCACAGATTTACGCTCTTACCACAGGACCTGCTTGGAAATTACTTAAGGGTCATATCGACTGTCCTTTTCCTAAAGGTATTGGTCGGCGAATACTAGATTTCCGTTTAAAGGTATTGTCATCAAAACATTTACTGGGGGAAAAGATTTCATCTTATGCAACCTACTGGCAGACGGAGTCAGAAACATTCCTATCATTTTGGGACTGCCTTGGTGACATCACGAGCAAATACCAGATGCCTATCAAGAAGCAGTCGTCATTGTACACACTCCTTGTCAAAGATGGAAAACGTGCGGTAAACGTCGAGATCAGTGAAGTTTGTGTCACATTTCACAAGTGTCTTAGTTGGGAAGATATGTCGGCGCTGTTGATAAGGATGTCCCAAATATTTGATGGAAATGAAACTGGTGAGACAATGGACAAAGATGACCCTCGTTTTGACGTGTTTGACCACGTACAACTTGTGAACTCGAAATCTGAGAAGCAGAAATACGATGACAAAATGAAAACATTCCTGACCGAATCATTAAAACAATCATGTACTACAAGTCGTGTAAGGCTAGTGCACAAAGACGTTGAAAGTTGGGTATCAGCTGACAGGTTTCTCCTTGAGAGGACAAATGCAACTGAAAGATTAATGGCAAAATGGGAAGGACGTCCTCCAACATTAAAAGAGGTACTTGAGGCTTGCAGGCGCTACGTGGAGGAAAAGAGGGTTCCACATGCTGCCCTAGAGCAACTAGTGAATGACGTGTCTATTCGGTTTGGTAGCACAGAGACAGGTATATTCACCGTTAGAGGAAAGGCAAAGCTGATAGAACTGATTGAAGGACACTTTCCCACTGACTCTGGAATTTCAGTATTTAGATATTATGGCACATGGTATCAAATTAACGTTGAATATTTGACGAAAATTGAGGAACAATTTTCGCAGCTGATGGAAATTTGTAGTTTGAAAAGGGACATACTGCCATTACCATGGCTATATTCTGAAAGCAAACCGGAAAACGTAGACCCTAAAACAATCAAATACTGGATCAGACAACTTAACTTTAGTGACAATGGCTACCCTCTCAAGGATGAAATTGATTTTAACGATTTTTTGTTGGATGAAACAAATGACGTTGTAGAGAAGCAGCTGATTGCACGATTGTCTTCCCAACAACAAGAACGGGAGTACAACAGTGGGTACATACTGTATAACAGAATATTCTCACAAAGGACTGATGTCGAATCGGGATATTTGCTTGGAGACAACATTTTAATGAAAACTATAGAGCTTTTTGATCTACTTCACTACACACCGGAATGTACATATCTGATCCATGTCAAAAATGGCTTTGGACATTCCTTCAGGGACGTTTGTTCTCAAATTAGAATATCAGCTGACTTTTTGCACTGTTACATGAATGTTACTAACAGGTTCAATATCCTTCAAGAATTCTGGAGAATTGCTACCAAAAAGAAGGCAACACCCTACAGACAGGCTGTAAGACGAATGTATAAAAATGTGGGATATAACAGATTTGAACGAATGTTCGACAGGGAAATTTGTTTTGTTTTGGCATACAGAGACAATATTAACACCGCAAAAAGAGGCACTTTTTCCATAACTAAATGCAAAAAGCTCACTAAACTTTTAGGAAAAGTTGCTACAGAAAGCCTGTCGAGGAATTTGGCAGAAAGGGACTTTCTTGAGAAAAGACGAGGTAAATACTATCTCACAGATAGGATCTTTATGTTAACGGCTGATATAGTGATGGACATTATCCATGTACCTGTCCATAATGCTAAAAAAGTCGTTGATATTTTGAAAGAACGTGTTTCCAAGTCCTTCATTTCCAAAATGGAGTTAATTCAATTGTACAGCTACTTCAGAAAATTTTCCAGAGGAGCAAATGTTTTTTCTTTAAGGATTTACAGCATAGAAAACCATAACCCTTCAACACTTATGCAGGAGCCTGGTGTAGAAAGGTCGATCTTCTCAGGGTCACTTGTATCACGAACAGGTGATGAGTATCATCAAAGAGGGAATTCTCATGAACGGACACCTGACAACGAGAAGCCGAGGAGCTCAGGATCACTTTCATCACACAGTAGTGCTGTGTGTCGTCAAAGAGAGAAGACCAATAAACGGATGCATGACAGCGAGCCGTCAAGAAGCTCAGGATCACTTTCATCACACAGTAGTGCTGTGTGTCGTCAAAGAGAGAAGACCAATAAACGGATGCATGACAGCGAGCCGTCAAGAAGCTCAGGATCACTTTCATCACACAGTAGTGCTGTGTGTCGCCAAAGAGAGAAGACCAATAAACGGATGCATGACAGCGAGCCGTCAAGAAGCTCAGGATCACTTTCATCACACAGTAGTGCTGTTTGTCGCCAAAGAGAGAAGTCCAATAAACGGATGCATGACAGCGAGAGGTCAAGAAGCTCAGGATCACTTTCATCACACAGTAATGCTGTGTGTCGCCAAAGAGAGAAGACCAATAAACGGATGCATGACAGCGAGCCGTCAAGAAGCTCAGGATCACTTTCATCACACAGTAGTGCTGTTTGTCGCCAACGAGAGAAGTCCAATAAACGGATGCATGACAGCGAGCCGTCGAGAAGCTCAGGATCACTTTCATCACACAGTAGTGCTGTGTGTCGTCAAAGAGAGAAGTCCAATAAACGGATGCAAGACAGCGAGCCGTCGAGAAGCTCAGGATCACTTTCATCACACAGTAATGCTGTGTGTCGCCAAAGAGAGAAGACCAATAAACGGATGCAAGACAGCGAGCCGTCGAGAAGCTCAGGATCACTTTTATCACACAGTAGTGCTGTTTGTCGCCAAAGAGAGAAGTCCAATAAACGGATGCATGACAGCGAGCCGTCGAGAAGCTCAGGATCACTTTCATCACACAGTAGTGCTGTGTGTCGTCAAAGAGAGAAGTCCAATAAACGGACGCATGACAGCGAGAGGTCGAGAAGCTCAGGATCACTTTCATCACACAGTAGTGCTGTGTGTCGCCAAAGAGAGAAGTCCAATAAACGGATGCATGACAGCGAGCCGTCAAGAAGCTCAGGATCACTTTCATCACACAGTAGTGCTGTGTGTCGCCAAAGAGAGAAGTCCAATAAACGGACGCATGACAGCCAATGGTCGAGAAGCTCAAGGTCACTTTCATCACGCAGTAGTGCTGAACATCATCAAAGAGAGACGTGTAACACACGAAAATCTGATAAATGGAATTCTGATGGGAAGTGGTCAACTCAGCTTTCTCAGAAACGGATACCTGATAGACTCTTGACAAACGACATTGGAAGCGGCAGAGATGTGGTACCCAACAGCAGTACGGTTGCTGGGATTCTTCCTCTTGAAAGGCAAGAGTCAGTGCCGTATCCTAAACGCCCTAAGATGCAGCTCAACTATGGGGAGTACGGCCACACGTACCTTGATAGGGAATGAGGCGTATGTGAACTGTTCACGCATTCGTTAAATTCGTTACGTTGTTTTACCTTATACGACGTAACAATGAGAAGATTGCTTAATACATATGTCTTATTATGTTTAAAAAGCGTATGTCATATTCATTTAGTCAACAGTCGTGGAAAGAGGTTGAATCGTTGAATTGTTGTGACACATCTACGACAATGACAGTGTTGAGTTGAGTGCTTTATACAGGAGTGGCATGCAAAACTCCAAAATAGTCCCTGTGCGTTTACTTATTCTCTGTTTCAAGGAAATTTCATGTGTGAACCATATGTACGTTATATCAATATTAACACAGTAAGAATAGCCTTATCACAGTTTCGTTACGTTTATTATCATTTAAGTTGTTATAAGGGGAAATTTCATAAGAAATCTACTGTATGCAGATACTGTAAATTGAATGTCCTGGAAGATGAATACCATGTTCTGCTATTTGTGATTATTATAGAAACATTATAAGCAGACATATACCCAGTTATTTTTCGAAACAACCGTCCAAACATACATTTATCCAACTATTGTCACCTTCTCACCGTATGTATTTTAAAAATATTGCTTTGTTTATCTACCATGCTATTTTGAAGAGAAATCCATTTTGCTTTTGAACTTTGTATATACTTGTACTATGGGCCTGTGGCCTTCAGTTCTGAATATAGATTGATTGATTGAGTTGAGTGTACGGATACCTTTATAAGTATTTCCGATAAGGTACCGGTCATTTTGTATGATTGATGCCTGGGATTCCGTATGGAAATAAGTATTTTTTTTTGCGACAATTATGAATCTGAGTATAATTTTTTAAAACATCCTACAATAAGCTATTCTTGTCATTCTTTTTGGTTTCCGTTTTTGTCTGAAGCATATATTTAAGGGGACAATTCATTTGTTATATAATCCAAGCCTATTTTGTATGTATACGCTTGCTAGCTGCAAGATGTTTGTCAATTTACTTGTTCAATGTGTGTATATTCCAGTAATGTATGTCCAAGGATTGACCTTAAATGCATCATGTAGATGGATACACAAGCGCATTCTGCACTGTAACAAATATAGGTTATTATGGGAAATGAGAGTGTTTGCATGTGCCACCCAAGGAGGAAAGCATCAATAGTTGGATGGTCCTCTTCTGCTGTCCATTTAATGGAATAGTTGATTAAGTCATATGTGAGACGTGAGTGAAAGACTTTCTTCTGTATCATTGCATGTGTAATATATCAGACGTCAAAAAATGACTTCCATCTGTATCATTGCATTGTGTAATATGTCAGACGTCAAAGAACGAATTCCTTTTGTATCATTGTATTCTGTTATATATCAGACGTCAAAGAACGACTTCCTTCTGTATCACTGTATTGTGTAATATATCAGACATCAAAGAAAGACTTCCTTTTGAATCATTGTATTGTGTAATGTATCAGAAGTCAAAGAAATACTTCGTTTTATTTCGTCGTATTGTGTAGTATGTCAGACGTCAAAGAACGAATTCCTTTTGTATCGTTGTATTGTGTTATATATCAGACGTCAAAGAACGACTTCCTTCTGTATCACTGTATTGTGTAATATATCAAACGTCAAAGAAAGACTTTTCTTTTGTATCATTGTATTGTGTAATATATCAAACAACGACTTCCTTTCATTTCTTTATATTGTGTAGTATGTGAGACGTCAACGAACGGCATTCTTTTGTATCATTGTATTGTGTAATATATCAACGGAAGACTTCCTTTTGTATCATTGTATTGTGTAATATGTCAGACGTCAAAGAAAGACTTAGTTATGTATTATTGTATTGTGTAATATATCAAAGAACGACTTCCTTTCGTATCGTTGTATTTTGTAATAAATCAGACGTCAACGAACGTCATTCTTTTGTATCATTGGATTGTGAAAGAACGACTTCCTTCTGTATCACTGTATAGTGTAATATGTCAGACGTCTAAGAACGACTTCCTTTTGTATCATTGTATTGTGTAATATAACAGAGGTCAAAGAACGACTTCCTTTTGTATCATTGTATTGTGTAATATATCAGACGTCAAAGAAAGACTTCCTTCTCTATCGTTTTATTGTGTAATATATCAAAGAAAGACCTCTTTTTGAATTGTTGTATTGTGCATTATATTAGAAGTCAAAGAAAAACTTCCTTCTGTATCACTGTATTGTGTAATATATCAGACATCAAAGAAAGACTTCGTTTTGTATCATTGTATTGTGTAATATATCAGACGTCAAAAAACGACTTCCTTTCGTATCGTTGTATTGTTTAATATTTAAGACATCAGAGAAAGACTTCGTTTTGTATCATTGTATTGTGTAATACTAGTATATCAGACGTCAAAGAACGACTTCCTTTCATACCGTTGCATTGTGTAGTATGTCAGACGTCAGCGAACGTCATTCTTTTGTATCATTGTATTGTGTAATATATCAAATCAAGACTTCCTTTTGTATCATTGTATTGTGTTATATGTCAGACGTCAAAGAAAGACCTCGTTTTCTATCATTGTATTGTGTAATATATCAAAGAAAGACTTCCTTCTGTATCATTGTATTGTGTAATATATCAATGAACGACTTCCTTTCATATCGTTGTGTTGTGTAGTATGTCAGACGTCAACGAACGTCATTCTCTTGTATCATTGTATTGTGTAATATATGAAAGAAAGACTTCCTTTGGTATCGTTTTATTGTGTAATATGTCAGACGTCAAAGAAAGACTTCGTTTTGTATCATTGTATTGTGTAATATATCAAAGAACGACTTCCTTTCGTATCGTTGTATTGTGTAATATATCACATGTCAAAGAACGACTTCCTTTTGTATCATTGTATTGTGTAATATATCAGACGTCAAAGAAAGACTTCCTTCTCTATCGTTTTATTGTGTAATATATCAAAGAAAGACCTCTTTTTGAATTGTTGTATTGTGCATTATATTTGAAGTCAAAGAAGGACTTCCGTCTGTTTCACTGTATTGTGTAATATGTCAGACATCAAAGAAAGCCTTCGTTTCGTATCATTGTATTGTGTAACATGACAGACGTCAAGTAAAGAGTTCCTTTTGTATCGTTGTATTGAGCAATATATGAGACGTCAAAGAAAGACTTTGTTTTGTTTTGTTGTATTGTGCAATATATCAGACGTCAAAGAAAGACTTCGTTTTGTATCGTTGTATTGTGCAATATATCAGACATCAAAGAAAGACTTCGTTTTGTATCATTGTATTGTGTAATATGTCAGACGTCAAAGAAAGACTTCCTTCTGTATCACTGTATTGAGCAATATATGAGACGTCAAAGAAAGACTTCGTTTTGTTTTGTTGTATTGTGCAATATATCAGACGTCAAAGAAAGACTTCGTTTTGTATCGTTGTATTGTGTAATATATCAAAGAAAGACTTCGTTTTGTATCATTGTTTTGTGTAATATGTCAGACGTCAAGGAAAGAGTTCCTTTTGTATCGTTGTATTGAGCAATATATGAGACGTCAAAGAAAGACTTCCATCTGTATCATTGCATTGTGTAATATGTCAGACGTCAAAGACCGAATTCCTTTTGTATCATTGTATTGTGTTATATATCAGACGTCAAAGAACGACTTCCTTCTGTATCACTGTATTGTGTAATATATCAGACATCAAAGAAAGACTTCCTTTTGAATCATTGTATTGTGAAATGTATCAGAAGTCAAAGAAATACTTCGTTTTATTTCGTCGTATTGTGTAGTATGTCAGACGTCAAAGAACGAATTCCTTTTGTATCGTTGTATTGTGTTATATATCAGACGTCAAAGAACGACTTCCTTCTGTATCACTGTATTGTGTAATATATCAAACGTCAAAGAAAGACTTTTCTTTTGTATCATTGTATTGTGTAATATATCAAAGAACGACTTCCTTTCGTATCGTTGTATTTTGTAATATATCAGATGTCAAAGAACGACTTCCTTTTGTATCATTGTATTGTGTAATATAACAGAGGTCAAAGAACGACTTCCTTTTGTATCATTGTATTGTGTAATATATCAGACGTCAAAGAAAGACTTCCTTCTCTATCGTTTTATTGTGTAATATATCAAAGAAAGACCTCTTTTTGAATTGTTGTATTGTGCATTATATTTGAAGTCAAAGAAAAACTTCCTTCTGTATCACTGTATTGTGTAATATATCAGACATCAAAGAAAGACTTCGTTTTGTATCATTGTATTGTGTAATATATCAGACGTCAAAAAACGACTTCCTTTCGTATCGTTGTATTGTTTAATATTTAAGACATCAGAGAAAGACTTCGTTTTGTATCATTGTATTGTGTAATATATCAGACGTCAAAGAACGACTTCCTTTCATACCGTTGCATTGTGTAGTATGTCAGACGTCAGCGAACGTCATTCTTTTGTATCATTGTATTGTGTAATATATCAAATCAAGACTTCCTTTTGTATCATTGTATTGTGTTATATGTCAGACGTCAAAGAAAGACCTCGTTTTCTATCATTGTATTGTGTAATATATCAAAGAAAGACTTCCTTCTGTATCATTGTATTGTGTAATATATCAATGAACGACTTCCTTTCATATCGTTGTGTTGTGTAGTATGTCAGACGTCAACGAACGTCATTCTCTTGTATCATTGTATTGTGTAATATATGAAAGAAAGACTTCCTTTGGTATCGTTGTATTGTGTAATATGTCAGACGTCAAAGAAAGACTTCGTTTTGTATCATTGTATTGTGTAATATATCAAAGAACGACTTCCTTTCGTATCGTTGTATTGTGTAATATATCAGATGTCAAAGAACGACTTCCTTTTGTATCATTGTATTGTGTAATATATCAGACGTCAAAGAAAGACTTCCTTCTCTATCGTTTTATTGTGTAATATATCAAAGAAAGACCTCTTTTTGAATTGTTGTATTGTGCATTATATTTGAAGTCAAAGAAGGACTTCCGTCTGTTTCACTGTATTGTGTAATATGTCAGACATCAAAGAAAGCCTTCGTTTCGTATCATTGTATTGTGTAACATGTCAGACGTCAAGGAAAGAGTTCCTTTTGTATCGTTGTATTGAGCAATATATCAGACGTCAAAGAAAGACTTCGTTTTGTATCGTTGTATTGTGCAATATATCAGACATCAAAGAAAGACTTCGTTTTGTATCATTGTATTGTGTAATATGTCAGACGTCAAAGAAAGACTTCCTTCTGTATCACTGTATTGAGCAATATATGAGACGTCAAAGAAAGACTTCGTTTTGTATCGTTGTATTGTGTAATATATCAAAGAAAGACTTCGTTTTGTATCATTGTTTTGTGTAATATGTCAGACGTCAAGGAAAGAGTTCCTTTTGTATCGTTGTATTGAGCAATATATGAGACGTCAAAGAAAGACTTCGTTTTGTTTTGTTGTATTGTGCAATATATCAGACGTCAAAGAAAGACTTCGTTTTGTATCATTGTATTGTGTAATATATCAAAGAAAGACTTCGTTTTGTATCATTGTATTGTGTAATATGTCAGACGTCAAAAAAAGACTTCGTTTCGTATCATTGTTTTGTGTAATATGTCAGACGTCAAGGAAAGAGTTCCTTTTGTATCGTTGTATTGAGCAATATATGAGACGTCAAAGAAAGACTTCCATCTGTATCATTGTATTGTGTTATATATCAGACGTCAAAGAACGACTTCCTTCTGTATCACTGTATTGTGTAATATATCAGACATCAAAGAAAGACTTCCTTTTGAATTATTGTATTGTGAAATGTATCAGAAGTCAAAGAAATACTTCATTTTATTTCGTCGTATTGTGTAGTATGTCAGACGTCAAAGAACGAATTCCTTTTGTATCGTTGTATTGTGTTATATATCAGACGTCAAAGAACGACTTCCTTCTGTATCACTGTATTGTGTAATATATCAAACGTCAAAGAAAGACTTTTCTTTTGTATCATTGTATTGTGTAATATATCAAAGAACGACTTCCTTTCGTATCGTTGTATTTTGTAATATATCAGATGTCAAAGAACGACTTCCTTTTGTATCATTGTATTGTGTAATATATCAGACGTCAAAGAAAGACTTCCTTCTCTATCGTTTTATTGTGTAATATATCAAAGAAAGACCTCTTTTTGAATTGTTGTATTGTGCATTATATTTGAAGTCAAAGAAGGACTTCCTTCTGTATCACTGTATTGTGTAATATGTCAGACATTAAAGAAAGCCTTCGTTTCGTAACATTGTATTGTGTAACATGTCAGACGTCAAGGAAAGAGTTCCTTTTGTATCGTTGTATTGAGCAATATATGAGACGTCAAAGAAAGACTTTGTTTTGTTTTGTTGTATTGTGCAATATATCAGACGTCAAAGAAAGACTTCGTTTTGTATCATTGTATTGTGTAATATGTCAGACGTCAAAGAAAGACTTCCTTCTGTATCACTGTATTGAGCAATATATGAGACGTCAAAGAAAGACTTCGTTTTGTTTTGTTGTATTGTGCAATATATCAGACGTCAAAGAAAGACTTCGTTTTGTATCGTTGTATTGTGCAATATATCAGACATCAAAGAAAGACTTCGTTTTGTATCATTGTATTGTGTAATATATCAAAGAAAGACTTCGTTTCGTATCATTGTTTTGTGTAATATGTCAGACGTCAAGGAAAGAGTTCCTTTTGTATCGTTGTATTGAGCAATATATGAGACGTCAAAGAAAGACTTCGTTTTTGTTTTGTTGTATTGTGCAATATATCAGACGTCAAAGAAAGACTTCGTTTTGTATCATTGTATTGTGTAATATGCCAGACGTCAAAAAAAGACTTCGTTTCGTATCATTGTTTTGTGTAATATGTCAGACGTCAAGGAAAGAGTTCCTTTTGTATCGTTGTATTGAGCAATATATGAGACGTCAAAGAAAGACTTTGTTTTGTTTTGTTGTATTGTGCAATATATCAGACGTCAAAGAAAGACTTCGTTTTGTATCATTGTATTGTGTAATATGTCAGACGTCAAAGAAAGACTTCCTTCTGTATCACTGTATTGAGCAATATATGAGACGTCAAAGAAAGACTTCGTTTTGTTTTGTTGTATTGTGCAATATATGAGACGTCAAAGAAAGACTTCGTTTTGTATCGTTGTATTGTGCAATATATCAGACATCAAAGAAAGACTTCGTTTTGTATCATTGAATTGTGTAATATATCAAAGAAAGACTTCGTTTCGTATCATTGTTTTGTGTAATATGTCAGACGTCAAGGAAAGAGTTCCTTTTGTATCGTTGTATTGAGCAATATATGAGACGTCAAAGAAAGACTTCGTTTTTGTTTTGTTGTATTGTGCAATATATCAGACGTCAAAGAAAGACTTCGTTTTGTATCATTGTATTGTGTAATATGCCAGACGTCAAAAAAAGACTTCGTTTCGTATCATTGTTTTGTGTAATATGTCAGACGTCAAGGAAAGAGTTCCTTTTGTATCGTTGTATTGAGCAATATATGAGACGTCAAAGAAAGACTTTGTTTTGTTTTGTTGTATTGTGCAATATATCAGACGTCAAAGAAAGACTTCGTTTTTGTATCGTTGTATTGTGCAATATATCAGACATCAAAGAAAGACTTCGTTTTGTATCATTGTATTGTGTAATATGTCAGACGTCAAAGAAAGACTTCCTTCTGTATCACTGTATTGTGTAATATATGAGACGTCAAAGTAAGACTTCGTTTTGTATAATTGTTTTGTGTAATATGTCAGACGTCAAAGAAAGACTTCCTTTTGTATCGTTGTAATATGTAATATGTCAGACGTAAACGAAAGACTTCGTTTTCTATCATTATATTGTGTAATATATCAAAGAAAGACTTCGTTTTGTATCATTGTATCGTGTAATATGTCAGACGTCAAAGCTAGATTTCCTTTTGTATCGTTGTATTGTGTAATATGTCAGACATCATAGAAAGACTTCGTTTTGTATCATTGTATTGTGTAATATATCAGACGTAAAAGAAAGACTTCCTTCTGCATCATTGTATTCGTAGTATGGGTGTTCTGGCTAGAATGTCGATAACATGTTCGCGGGGTTAAATCGGACAACAATCAAATATACTCCTTACAATGCAAGAAACTCTCCCATCCCTAGTGATTCAGTAGGTATGCTTCACTGGTATATCAAGATCACGCATGAAACTAAAGTTTACAGCCGTTACACTGCCCTGACCTTACCGTAACAAAAAATCATACTTATATGCCTATTGATTCTATTCATTTGATACAAAAGAAAATTATGTTAAATAAGATTCCAATACATTTGATATCTTTGAATTGAAAATTTAGATACAAACAACATTAAACTAGAAAAATGTCACTGCCGTCTCAAAATCTGTCCTTACCGTAAGAAAACCCATGATAACAGCAGTGACCGTAACGGTAGTGACTGCCACTAACAATATCAGTTTTAAAACAATAACTGGTCCCCAAAGTTTACTGAGCACATGGTTTCAAAAGATTTCCCCCACAGTCTAAGGCACTTGGCGTGGTTTGGTTTCACAAAATTAATTGCTTTCAACAGTAGTTACCGTAACGGTTCGGAAATGTAAAATTCACAGATATCATTTTGTACTCACCTTTTTGTGATAAAATTCAGAAAAAAATGAAGTTTTTGTCAGTTTTTGACAGCCATGCATGTTTCATCACTGCCATTGCTTGCAAACAGTAAGGGGGGAATTTTAGGGGGGGTGGTACGGTAGTGACATCAAACCATGTGAAATGTTTGACCTTTTTTTCACAAAATGGTTTTCCATACAAAAAATGGTCAAACCAGGCCAAGCAAGTAGCTGTAACATCATTAATTATGTTATGTCTCGTTTCCTGCTGACTGGGTTCCCTCCTATTGCGCAACTTGGTGTTTTGGTGACATATGTGTTATTTGTAATTCAGAAAGTCAAAACATTGATTACACAACAGTCTCGTTTCCTGCTTACTGGGTTCCGTCCTATTGCGCAACTTAGTACAATAACCAGTCCAGGATTTTGAGTTTTACAGTTCATTCAACTGGATATATAATGTTAATCAGTATTGTTTGATACATCTAATCACTTGTATATTGCAACATTACGCTCCTTCTAATCCCTTCAAACACGTCGTGCAGCGTACTCTGTCGTACAGCCTGCTCTGACGAACGGAAATCTGAAAATCGTGGAAATCTCAAAGAGGCTCGGCCGCTAGAAAAGTTTGGCGGTCTTGTACGGACTTGATATTATATTAATCACATTGTATGTTACAAAATACACTTAATGAGAACACATAGCAGGTGTAACCAGTGAGCCAGATGAATTGTGAATCAATTCTCGACCTCATCAAACAGGGGCAGTCTGTGACGTCATGGTTAAGACCATGCTGCCTAAACCTCGCCATAAAATATAGAAATACTATTAAAATTCATTTGTAAATACCATTTTCTTATGAAACTTAAGCAACATTAATGTTGAAGCATCTAGAATATCACTCTTATTGTGACATCTTACAATGACCGGTATGTATACTCTCCCAAAAAAGAAACGCATATAGGAATTTCAACTGTATTGTTATGTTTATTTTGAAACATCTTGTAGGCTTTATGAGTCAATGAAATATAGCGAAATTGCACACTGGGAATGCAGACTTATTCGTCTTTGGCACCAACTCGAGAAAAGTCAGTTTGAGTGTCACGTGGAGACGTGTGGTGGCGCTGAAGTCAATACCTCGTGTGACCACCGTGGGCATCCAGAACTGCACGGCATCGCCTCGGCATCGAACGAATAAGTCTCAGAATCTCGTGTTGCCCAATCGCAGCCCACTCTGCCTGTAGTGCCTGTGCGAGTTGCTGAAGTGTCTGGGGCTGAGGGTTACGGCGTCGCACCCGTCTCTCCAGGGCATCCCACAGATTTTCGATCGGGTTTAAGTCCGGTGATCTTGAGGGCCAGGGGAGCACATTGATGTTGTGGTTCTGGAGGAAGTCTCTAGTGTGACGTGCTGTGTGGGGCCTGGCATTGTCCTGTTGAAACAACTCCCTCTGGCGATCAATGATTGGAAGGAGGTGTGGGCGTAGGATTTCGTCACAGTACCGTTGAGCTGTCAGGTTGCCCTGGATCATCACCAAATCACTTCTCCTACGGCAGGTGATCGCTCCCCACATCATAACACTTCCCGGCGAATCTGTCCACCTGGGGAACGCAAGCGTCGGCGAAACGTTCACGTCGACGTCTGTACACCCGCATTCTTCCATCGCGTCGTTCCAATAGAAATCGTGATTCATCACTGAACCAGATTCTACGCCAATTCGGTAGGTTCCAGGCCTGAACGTTGGTGCACCATTGAACTCGATGTCGACGATGTTGCTGTCGAAGCACAGGGCCAAAATAAGGTCTTCTGGCACGTAAACCAGCCTCTCTCAACCTGTTCCTGACGGTCTGTGCAGAAAGCCTCCTCAATCCGGGTATTTGTGGAGCGGTACTGGTCGCCGTAGCTGTTCGATGACGCAGGTGATGTACCCGGATGTAGCGATCCTGCGCCGCAGTGGTTGCTCGAGGTCGCCCACTACGAGGGGCATCTGCTACCGCATTCTGCCGGCGATATCTCTCCCAGAGCCGTGAAATGGTGCTTTGGTGAACATTCATGCGTCGGGCAACTGCACGTTGAGACTGGCCAGCTTCAAGCAAACCAATGGCGATATGACGGTTGGCTTCACTT